ACTCAGCCCAGTGGCCAACAGGTGACAGTCTGGTAGTGGGCCACGACCCACAATCTGAGTTCTCATTTTACCAAACTTGGAAGGATGGAAGGCTGAGTCAACCTGGCAGTGGGCAGAGTTATTAACGTTATGTAGTAATATGTTAGTAAAGTTATGTAACTACTATGCCACTGCAGCAAGCTATTGCATATAAAGAGAGCAAACCCCATTCCCTTCTAGCATTGAAGATGTTATGTAGTCTTGTAACAAAATGTCTGCAAACAAATAACTGAGCTCAGAGACCACCAAGAGTTACAGAGTTCAACTCTAAGCTACATACAATCTTATTTATTAGATCCGTGATTGATCTGTAAATAGTAATTGCACTTATATATCACTTCATAGTGCTTTACAGCCTTCTCTAAGCAGTTTACAAAGTCAGTATATTACCCCTAACAATCTGGCTCCTCATTTTACCAATCTCAGAAGGATGAAAGATTAAGCCATTGAGACTCAAATTCCTGGAGTGACCAGTGAGTCAGCCTGCAGAATTGCATTCAGTGGTGACTCAGTGGCTAAGACTCTGAACTGGTCGATCAGAAAGGTTGGCAGTTTGGTGGTTCAAATCCCGTTACTTGTCCCAGCTTCTGCCAATCTAGTAGTTCAAAAGCATGTAAATATGCAAGTAGAAAAAATAGGAAGCACCTTTGGTGGGAAGGTAACAATGTTCCGCGTGTCTTTGGCATTTAGTCATGCCGGCCATATGACCACAGAGACGTCTTCGGACAGCACTGGCTCTTCGGCTTTGAAACAGAGATGAGCACCGCCCTAGAGTCGGGAACAACTAGCACATATGTGCAAGGGGAACCTTTACCTTATTGCATTTTAACCACTGTGACACCATGGCTCTTCCTTCCTATGGATGACACTTCATTCCTATAGATAAAGGAACTATGCAGTTCCTACTTCAGTTATTTCCTGGAAAGATTTCTGAATAACCCTTTTGTCCCTTTGGAAGAATTCTACAGATGTTTTGGTAAACTTGCCCACTAAATAAGGATCCAAGGAGTTTGGAGCTAGATGCTATAAAATATATGTTTTTGGTATGCACAACAACGTAAAAGAGTTCTGAAGCCCCAAAGATTATAGGTTATATACCTTTAAAAATGATACACAAGGAATAGAAAAGTAATGTAAATTATAACATGAATTTTACAGTTTGAATGCAGAATCAGATAAAAACATGCAGGGACTTTAATACTGAATTTTACTTTTCTAAGGAGACCACAAGCTTGTCTATTCTGCTGGTATTAGCACCCTCTAACATAAACAGTATATATATANTCCTGCACCTCAAAAATAATAAGACCACCCTGAAAATAAGGCCAAGTGCTTATTTTGGGGGTCAAAAGAAAGTAAGATCCTGTCTTATTTTCAGGGAAACACGGTAGTTGTTTCATTTTTATCTTTCACTGTGTGACCTTTTCCATGTTCTTATATTTCACGTTCCTACTATAATTCAATTATTGCAACTCAGACTTTCTTTTCCTGTTCAACATTAGAAACTAGTTATCCCAAAGTCTTTAATATACCCACATTACAAACACTTAATACTCCAAAGGATCGTTATTTAAAGATAGCATATTAAGTGCTCTCCCTATCATGCAGCATTTTATTATCAATCACTTTATCCTATCTATCCTTGTAGTTCTCTTAGTCAAATATAGAAAGGGTTTACCATTCTTCTATGCAGTATGAAACTATTATCTTGGCCATTGTTATTATAGTGATCATCCTCCACTGACATATTATTATATGGTTGCTGCCCAACAAAGGTGCTTGTTTGATTTAGCTAGACAACTGGGATGACCTTCATCTCTTGGTTGGCCCTGTTGGGAAAACATACTCATGGTGTAGAATTCAGTATTCTTTGTGCATCCCTCCAAGGAACTCCCCATTATAACAAATGAAAAAGCGTAGAAGAACTTGAGGAGGGAATGTATAGATTGTGTGCCAGTTCTACAAAACTATATCTAAATACTTCACACAACATAGCTCAGTCAAAACTAGATCAACCTCCAACCAGTGTTCACTGGATGAATTAGATATACTGCCAAATCCTGAAAAAGTAGGATGCCTAAATTACAGTATAAATATATTGAGGTCTGCTATTTTGTCCATATTGCTTTGTATATATGGGACAAACTACAAAATAAAATGAATTAAGAAAACAGGATACAGGGGTGAACAAGAGAAACCAGGGATTTTAATCATCCAATCACTGGATACAGTAGTAGATACAATACAAAAAGGACAGAATAATAATGTTGAAAGGGAGTTGGAGATCTTCTAGTCCAACCCTCTGCTCAAGCAGGAGATCCTACACCATTTCAGACAAATGGCTGTCCAATCTTTTCTTGAAAACCTCCAGTGATAGAGCACCCACAACCTGATTAATTATTCTGTCAGGAAATTTCCCCTTATTTCTAGGTTGGTTGAACAATTTTATTTACATTGTTTACTTCTATGGAAGAAGAAACAGAAGAAGTACATTTTTGCCAGGCAACTTCCATTATTCATCCATCAACAAAGATATGACTGTTTCTTAAACATTCAACAAAATAGGTCCCAAGGGGAAAAAAATACACTGAATTAGGTACCAATAATTTAGATGTGTCTTAGGTAGCAAATTATCTGTAAAAATGCCCTTTACTAAAATTTCTTTAACCTATTGAAATGAATAATAGCTCTGACCTACAAAACACATATGAGAAAGAAACATAGCTTCATTGAAGTGAGGCATTTTCACACAAACTTTTTAAAGGGACCCTGTTATATTTAGAGCATACTCAAAACAGATCATCTGATGCAAGATAACACTATTTCGTATTTATAAAAAATGCTAACTAATATAAAGTGCTGAAATAGCAAACAAGATTCCCACCCACCCCCAAAAAAATCACTCAGAGGGATGCAAAATTTTCTTCCAATAACAATTCACCTTCAATGCTCACTAAAGGGAAGCTGGGGAAATTCTTTCATCAACCTCATTCCATCAAATAAACATTGGCTGACAGAAAAGCCCCAAAGAATCAGCTTTTGTGTAAATGAAAGAAGCAAAAAGCTGCTATAACACACACACACACACACACACACACACACACACACACACACACACACATATATAAACAAAAAGCTGCTATCTGCTTAGAACGGTATAAATATTGCTTAACTGCTTACATTTGAGAACTGCAGGACAAAATGTATCAACACTGAATGCATAAGGAAGTTTTGGTATCATGGCAAGTTCATGTTTCCTAACCAGTTGCAGTCTATATGTTGCCAAAGGAAATATTTTTGTTAAATTCAAAACTACAGATGTAAATGATGAATNACTATACTATACTATACTATACTATACTATACTATACTATACTATACTTTCATATTTTCTGATGAAGCCAAACTACCTTTGAGACCACAAGTAGAATATCCTCAACTAATCTTTGTGGACATATTGAACAGTACTGGTAATATTTCATTCTTGACTTCCAAACAACCTGTTTACAGACTATAGTTAATCTCTTAAATTGAGCCCAGCAGCTCAGAGGTAGCCTAGACAGCATGTTCAGCAAGTATAAAGACAGGTATTTCATCATTTAGCCATCCAACAATCAGGAAATTGTATTGTATACCTTTAATGTGCTTCAGGTTATCTTCAGGAATGCATAGTACCATATAGAGATAATTATAACTACTGCATGTTGAATATATAACTCACGGATGTTCATATAGGGTCAGAACAAAAAAGGATCAGATATGATATCCACTCTAAATTGTTAAGAACATTAAGGGCTAACAACCAACATTTTGAATTGAGCCTGAAAAGTAATTGGTAATCTATATAGATCTTGCAGTATTACACTGATAAGATCACAGTGGTGTATGCTCAAGTCAGCCACATAATTCCATTACATTTCATCAATTGAAGCTTCCGCAGACTCTTCTTTAGATTATACTATAGCAGTGTGTTGAAATTAAACAAAATATATAGTTGGTGCTAAAAGAAATTATGCAAAGATTCTTTATTTTTACTAATTATACAGGAAATAAATCAGAAAAATGAAAAGGACTTTCAACCTATGAACTTGATCTTTCAAATAGAAAAAACTTTTCAAGGTAAGCTGAATCTGGATTCCCAAGATAAATTTTCTGTTTACCTCTCAGTTTATTCATCTTTAATTATCCATTATTCCTGGAGTTACCTGACAAGTAATATTGCTGAGGCTTGTCAGCATTCTAGCGGCATCTCATTGAAAAAAATCCCTCTGAGGTGTTTCATGTGGTATACATAGAGCAGTGATGGCTAACCTTTTTGTCATTGTGTGCTCACATCCATAATGCAATGTGTGCGTGAAACCCCCCCAGATGCACTGTCTCCCTGCGCATGCACACGTCACCCCCCCCTCCACGCATGACACCACCACCACCCCGCAGCCCATTTTGGGCCTAGCAGGCCTCTGCTAGGAGCCAAGGTGGCGCAGTGGTTAAATGCAGCACTGCAGGCTACTGCTAGATCAGCAGGTCAGCGGTTCAAATCTCACCGGCTCAGGGTTG